CTTAACAGTCCCCGGGGGGAAAGAGCAGAAGGATTGATGTGAGCTGTGTCGAGGGCAGAGAGTAAGCAGGACCTGGTAACTGCTTAGGTCTGGAGAGCAAGGGGAGGGAGAAGGGGGTTGATTCCCCTGGCTTTCTGGCCTGGGTGAAAGAAGACAGAGGAACAGGGCTGGGGTTGGTTTGGGACAGGTTGGGTTTAAGATGCCTGAGGACCATGTAGGTGACGATGTCTAGAAGGCAGTTAAATGTCTGTGTCTGGAACTCAAAAGAAAGGTCTACATAGATTGCGGATTTGAGTGTGGATTTCATGGACAGTCTCTTTGCACCTTTTAGTTTTGCAAATGAAAGAAATTGAGGCTGAGAGAACCAGATTGTTTCCAAGTTTTTAAACAGAGTGGGTTTGCCTCAGCAATCACATTCCTCATTGGAGCCGGGCTGGAATCACAGCCTGCCAGGACCCTGCCTGTCTCCTCCAGAGCCCTCCTGGTAGCATGACTGAAACAGTTGGGCCTAAGATGATTGTTCTCTTCTCTCACTTTATCCTTTCAGTGAGTGTGTTTATATTCAATCCCCCTTGAAACTCAGCAGCCAGCTCTGCATCTCAGCCATAGGGTGAGTTCTCCACAGCTTCCCCCACCCCGCCTTGCTCTTTCCCAACCGAAAACAGCTCAGCTCAGGCTACTGAGGGCTGAGCTTCTGAATTTGACTTGTTTTGTGAAGCAGTCAGTGGCTGCTGGTCCTGATCGGGCTTTTCTCCATCAGCCTGGCTCATTTTCCCATCTTCTCTGATCTGTTTGAACACAGCAAAGACCCAGGAACTCTGTGACCTTCTGCAAATGCCTTCACCCCTCTGGTCCTCGGTTTTGGGGACAATGGGACAAATGATACGTCTTCCCAACATTAGGAGGTCTGATGGAGATGATATATTTAAAAACATTGGTCAAGAGCTTTTAGATACTGTTTTGAAACAAGGAGCCCCTCAGTTGCAAAGTGTTACACATGTGGAAAAAGCATATTGGCTTTGGTATCAGAAAGAAAACAATTGGCTAGAGCAAATACATTCTGAGAGGTTTCCTGAGTGCTGGTTTGTTGTTCTGGTGGGGAAGCAGGAAAAAATGGTGATAACGGGTGGAGTAAAGCCAGAGGTGGGGTAGTGGCGGGAGGGAGGGAGGTTCTGACAGCTGGTGCAGTAGAGGAGGTATGGGGTCAGGCAGCTGCTTACCGCCAAGAGTCAGCGCCAAACAAAGTGAGGAGGAACTAGGGGGGATTGGGTGGGAGGTTCTGACTGAGGCTGAGGCAATTCAAGGGGAAGGGCAGCAGAATAGAAACTGCCGTCAGGCACTCCCCCAGTGCCGAGGGAGATCTGGTAACCCCAGACCAAGGTGAGCAGGGCTTTAGAGACTGTCCCCTCCCCAAAAGGCTGTTGGTCGGTGAGCCTCAAGGACATCTATGCATGGATCTTAGTTGAGGTTGTACAAAAAAGGAGAAACGTGGTTAAACTGAAGGACAAAATCAGAAAATGCAACCAGAAAGAAGAGGGTGGACTGTGAAGGGGAAATTTAGAAAAGGGGCAGATTTGTCTTTCATTGTGAAATTCGTACTTAAAGCCAGTTTAGAAGAACTTACATTTATTTAAATTGGCAGATAGTGCCACAACCTTGCAAGTCACCTTTAGGGGTCCTTCAGCTCTCTAGCAAGAGGTGACGGTTTTTATTAATCAGAACCTGGGTGGCGTCGGTGAATGCCACCTTCAGGCAAAAGCAGGAGAGCCAGAAGCAGCATAGGTGCAGCCATTGTCCCAGAGCCTGCAGGTGAGAGTGGGCACCTCCCAGCAGGGACCAGGCGGGCACCAGTGAGGACAGCCAACCTGAGCTCAGGCCGTCCTAATTCCCTGTAGTTTTTCTCTTTCCACCCCTCCAGTGACTCCATGGTCACTGATTTCAGGAGCTAAGAGCCCTCAGTGAATGTGATATAATCCTTATACTTGTAAAAGAATTTCTAAATACATAATTTCGCAAATTAAAGCATATCCTTAATCAGATCATACGTGCCAATTTTTACTTTCAGAAAATGTGACCTTTTATTCATTCCACAGATATTTATTGAGCATACTCATGGCCGAGATAGTCTAGTGGGCGCCTGCAAATAAAGAGCGTTTCCCCCATCCCGACCTTTCCAGAGGCCTCTCTCTGAGGCACGAACCCTGGAGGACTGCATGTAGACTTACTTCATTCACATGCCTTTTTTTTTTTTTTTTTGGCCATGCCGCTGGGCTCACAGGATCTTCCCTGAGCAGGGATTGAACCCGCGTCCTTGGCAGTGAAAGTGTGGAATCCTAACCACTGGACCACCAGGGAATTCCCATCATTCACATGCTTTTTGTTCTCAGCTTTGAGGGTTGGTTTTCTTTCCCCTTACATTCCCATTCCTTTTTTTTTTTTTTTTTGGCCATGCCGCTGGGCTCACAGGATCTTCCCTGAGCAGGGATTGAACCCGCGTCCTTGGCAGTGAAAGTGTGGAATCCTAACCACTGGACCACCAGGGAATTCCCATCATTCACATGCTTTTTGTTCTCAGCTTTGAGGGTTGGTTTTCTTTCCCCTTAGATTCCCAATAATGTTCTCCTGTCTTGGCCGAGGAAAGGGGAAGAGATTTGACCCCCTGACCTAGGCCAGAGATAATGAGGAGGGGTCTGGGAGAGCCCTGATAGCCCGGCAGTCCCCTGAATAGAGCACGTGAAGCCCTTCAAACAGTGGCGGGCACATGGCAAGGGCCCAGGAAGTGGTGGTGACTGGGAGGCGGTGTTACCAGTGCCGGAAGCAATGGAATTGCTCCGGGGAACTTGACTACTTTGAGGTGGAGACATTGCCTGTCCTACCACAGAATTTCCACCTCTTTTCCACTTCTGACTCCTGGCTCTGGATACGCTCGTCTCGGGGGTGCATTCGTGGCAGGTGGCACTCAGCAGTGATGATGCACACGGAGCTCCAGCATTCTTAAGCCCTGTTTCCCCGTGATGTGCAAGCCTGGGCTCTTGGAAGGTGCTGCCTCCTAGGTGGTAGGGAAATGTTAGAGCGGCCGAGAGTACCGTCTGTGGTGCCCGATGACAAGGCTCAAGTTCCAGCGCCCGCTGTCCACTGACTGTGCCAGCTTTGATGAGTGCCTGACTCTCCCAGTGCCTCGTCCTCATCTGAAAATGGGGAAAATAGGACCGTTCGTGGGAATTAAAGAGAGAATGATCATCAGGCACTTAGCACAGTGCCCCGCACATAGGCCATCTCACCAAGCAGGGTGTACGGCTGCTGTTGCCGTCATTGTGTGTAACTCTGGGGACCCATAGTCTGCGGGAAGTATAAAAATGATTGTATGGTGATGCATGGATAGAAGGAAAGAGACGGACAGATGTATGAGGAAGCAAATGCAGCCCAGCGTTCCTTGTAGAATCTAGGTTGGGGGTGGTATATGGGTGTTCACTGTTGTAATTCCTTAAACGTTTCTTTCCACTTGATAATATTCATAATATTGGGATGAAGTAATTTCATCAAGCTGTTTACATCTTTAGAGCTGGAAAAATTCCATATTGATACCGGTAGATGGAATTTGGTAGAACTGAAAAGCAGCCTGGCAGGAGCCTGAGTGCTTTTGTGGAAAAGGGGTCATCACTGATCTGAGTGAGTGTGTGTGCATGCGTGTGTGAGCGTGCCCACATGTCAGTGTGTTGGTGGGGGAGGGCATAGAAAACTGGAATTAGGGGAGGGGGAAGGTTCAGCGAGTAGGCGCTTTTAATTTTTTCTGTGCCCCACCTCATTCCAAAAAGGATTTGTGGTAACTTGCAAAAATACCTAGACTTTCAACAAGATAAAAATAAATGAAGGATATAAACAAGCAATAGTTTATACTCATAATACATGTCATAAGGTGCTGAATACAAATTTTGAAAGCAGTGGATGGGATAAGAATACATAGAATCCCAGCTTCCGGTTGCACCTAGGGGCTGATTTTCCTGGAGACTAGGCAGCTGTGGGCCACCTCCTTTCATTGTTGATTTTTTTTTTTTTTTTTTTTTTTTTTTTTTA